GCACATAAAACCGTCTGCTCTCTATTGATTGGTTCGCGCACCTGGCAAAATCTGTTGTCAGCGTATCTAGCCTTGGCCCTTACGAGCAGAATGTGCAATGGATTTGGTCGAGTCCACTAAGGCAAACACTTTAGAGTTCATATGGGTTATAGCTCAGTCGGTATAGCGACAGGCTACAGGCTGGACGGCCCGAGATCAATTCCCGGCAAAGTCAAGATTGTCTCCTCTCCACGGCCACCAGACCGACTCCGAGGCCCACGTAGCCTCAAACCCCATGGTCACCGGGGGCGATTTCTCGGTGAGAAAGCGGCCGGGGCTTGAATCTGGTCAATTACATACATCTAGTTACGAGGCCAAGAATGGTGGAGCTATAACTCAACTCCCCGATATGGCTTGATGGAACAGTGCTTAATTAATTAAGTACATGTTCTTAGTTACAATACGTTCTGTATCCCGTAAGACAAATTCAGCTGCGACCACCTAACCTAACATTTAGTCTAAGTTTCTAATGCCAAACGCCATAGACATCTGTTATAAAAATTTCGGAAATGAAAAGTGTTGGCGAATTTCCACTACCTCGTCATTACTAAGTAATTCTATGTACTTTGGCTCTAAAAAGGTAAAGTTGTCCCTATGCTTAACCAGTTACTCACCACGCCATGAAGGTGTATGGAGGGGTGAAGGAATAGATCCACATTTTCTTGACCTCGGCACTACCTGTAGCTTAGTGGTCAGTTTCACGCCCCGGCGGCTTTACCCTAGGGGAAAAAGCCCCCGGTACCATTGGATAGGAGGTTGGGTGGACCCCAAAGCCCGTCTGGACGAGAGGAAATTCTTGACCATACCGGTCGTCCAGCGCGTAGCCAGTCGTTATACTGACTGAGCTATCACGGCTCCTACTTTGGCTCAAATAGAGCATAATTATTAAATAGTTTATATTTACTATCAGTGTGCACCCCTCGAAGAAAGAATTTTTTTTATATACTAATTGAGGTTAAAGACATTAAATCTGTCCATCTTTCCCACACTTTCTGCTCTCATTACGCCTGGTCATCCAAGTTGATTGAACTTTCGTTGAAAATGTATTTCGTCTACAGCTGCAAGATTCCCCACGAAGACAGAAATAACTACACGCTGAGCAACAAACTGTATCTACTTGTACAGTGTAATTCTGTGTTAACTTATCGGCCCTTCTGACTGGCGGGTAACACAATCAATATCCGGAAAGCCATCATTTAGTAGGGCAATCAATCAAGTGGTTATAACAGCTGACTGACCTACCTGCAGGCATTTTGTTGCGGGGGTGGGAGTCACACAATCTTTTATCTTCTTATGAATAACGCATTTCCCTGAATACACAAGTTGCGTGGGTTGGAAGTTCAGTACCTTTATAAATAGTGACAACTGCCATGGCAGAGATCGTCCTCGACCCAAACCCGTACTTATAATATAAAGTTTTGTGACTTACATATAGAACCGGGGGCGGGATAGCTCAGTCAGTACAGTGACTGGCTAGTGGCTGGACGACTGAGGGGTCGAGTTCGAGTCCCGACAAGGGCAAGATTTTTCTTCTTTCCACGTCGTCCAGACCGATTGTGGAGCACACTCTACCTCCTAGACAGTGGGTACCGGGGGTAAAGCGGTCCTGAACTATGTCAACCTGTTCAGTTAGTTCTGTATACAATTCACACCCAGTCATGCAGTGTGTGTTTATATGTGAACCTACTGATAGGCTGAAACTCTGTTTCTTGAGGCCGCGCCATAGCTCAAGCGGTTAGTCGCTGGCTTCCCATTGCGGCGGCCCGGGTTCGATCCCGGGTCTGGTCAAGGGGGATTTGTGGTGGACAAAGTGACGCTGGGGCAGGTTTTCGCCGATTACTTCGGTTTCCTCTGCCAATCTTCATTCCACCAATCACCCTCACCTACCATCTGGGGCTGGTACAATAGGCCAGAAGTGGCCGCAGTACAAGGGACTTAATCCCACCCCACTAGCAATAAAAAAAATCTGTTTCTTGGAATCCTGAATCGAATTAATTTCGTATGACAGATAATTTGTGTTGATAATTAGAATGATCAAGTCAACGAGGATGATGTGGGCAGGGCATGTAGGGCGAATGNTACTTCGGTTTCCTCTGCCAATCTTCATTCCACCAATCACCCTCACCTACCATCTGGGGCTGGTACAATAGGCCAGAAGTGGCCGCAGTACAAGGGACTTAATCCCACCCCACTAGCAATAAAAAAAATCTGTTTCTTGGAATCCTGAATCGAATTAATTTCGTATGACAGATAATTTGTGTTGATAATTAGAATGATCAAGTCAACGAGGATGATGTGGGCAGGGCATGTAGGGCGAATGGGGGAGAAGAGCAATGCATATAGGATATTGATGGGAAAGCCAGAAGGAAAGAGACGACTGGGAAGACCAAGGCGTAGGTGGGTAGGCAATATTAAAATGGATCTTAGAGAGATAGGATGAGATGGTATAGATTGGATTAATCTGGCTCAGGATAGGGACCATTGGAGGTCTCTTGTGAACACGGCAATGAACCTTCGAAGTTCCATAAAATGGTGGGAAATTCTTGAGCAGCTGCAGAATTGGCGGCTCCTCAAGATGGGCTGAGCTCCATGAGTAAGTAAGTAAATAAGATTTCATTTTATATGANATCAAGTCAACGAGGATGATGTGGGCAGGGCATGTAGCACGAATGGAGGAGAAGAGCAATGCATATAGGATATTGGCGGGAAAGCCAGAAGGAAAGAGCTNACTGCAGAAGTGGAGAAATGGTGATCGTGGGTGGTGATTAAGCAAGGATTCGGAAGGCTGTGCTCTTGGCATGAGGGTACGAACCCGTAACCCAGCCTAGACTCCTGCCGGTAGCTTATAGCGCACTGCAGCTATTCGGAAACACCGGAGCGAGTCCCCTTTCTGACTCTCTGTGTGTGTCAGCTGTACACGGGACGCTGGAAACTGTTCGTAGTGAGTCAGTTTGGTGTCCAGAGAAGGGAAGAGCGGGTGAGGTGCTTGTTCGTGGTTCTAACGTGCTTGAGAGTGAGAGGGCGCCACAAGCTAATACAAAAGGATATAAATAAAGCTGTCAACCCTCACACCTCCTCTGTCTGTGCTGGCAGCAGAGAACAAACATTCTTTAGATGATATAATCACGAGAAAGTGCCTCGTGATGCCAGTGATGCAACTGCCCAGTAGAGCCGAAGCATCCGACTGACAAGCCAACTCATGGCACTGGCTCTAACGAGTTATGGCTAGGCCGACTCAGAATTATGTTGGGAACATGTGAAATTGATTGAACCGGGTCATAATGATGTTCAATTTCGGATCCAAGTATTAATTCTTCTTAACTCTTTGCAACAAGGAAACTATCGGAAGATATCATCGAAGTTATCCGAAATCCTTCACGGCTTCAAAATACACGCCATCTGACATCGCAATCCTGACACCTAGGCTTCCAACTTAGGTAGCGACGAAGTTCCGCGTTTCTGTCGTCATTACGGTCTGTTCCGGCTCATGTGGGCTCCGGCTTCATGGGCGCCTCCGGGACATTTTCCGGGGATTCGGTTGCCAGTCACATTTGCAAGGGATCCAGCCAGAAAACCTTCTGACAAATTTACTTTAACATCATTGTTTAAGACTATGTTACTGGTCGCCCAAACCCAGAAGATCCTTTACAGAGTTTTGCTTTATGGTATAATATTCTGTACAGTTCCTTCTCTTTCCACTTGTGATTTTTTCCAAAATTCAGGGGGAGGGCCGGATGCCTGGTTTTCCCTTTCGCTGCAGCTTCCATGGCTCGGATCGCCTGCATATCCCTAGGGTGAAAAAGTGTACTTATTCTAAACTTGCCCTGCCAAGCATGAACTGGAGCCAGTACCAGTGAATAATGCTCCACTTACCGATCACGGTGCCAGTGAATAATGCTCCATTTACCGATCACGTGCCAATGAGTAATGCTCCATTTACCGATCACGTGCCAATGAGTAATGCTCAATTTACTAATCACCGTGCCAATGAGTTATGCTCCATTTACCGATCACGGTGCCAATGAATAATACTCCACTTACCAATCACCTTGACAATGAGTAATTCTCCATTTACCAATCACCGTGCCGATGAGTAATGCTCCATTTACCAATCACCGTGACAATGAGTAATGCTCCATTTACCAATCACCGTGACAATGACTAATGCTCCACTTACCGATCACGGTACCAATGAGTAATTTTCCATTTACCAATCACCGTGACAATGAGTAATGATCCACTTACCGATCACGGTGCCAATGAGTAATGCTTCATTTACCAATCACCGTGCCAACGAGTAATTCTCCATTTACTAATCACAGTTCCAATGATTAATGCTCCACTTACCGATCATGGTGCCAACAATTAGAGCCACCCCACTGAAGAGTCCCACCCGTCTCTTGAGGTGAAGAGTGTCGTCCTCAACTGCGTCCGTCCCCTCCAGCTTGTCTCCCCCTGGGACGGCCACTTCGGACAGCGATGCATCCGTTTCACCGGCCCCTGTTGCATCCCCGACTGAGACGGCGTGCCCGTTCCCATTGGCGATGTTGCTGTTGCCGCCACGCCAATGGACTCCTCCATCTTTGTTGCCGGATACATTATTTTCTGAAACGACAAAGAGTGTCAGGCTCCCTGTGCTGTTGGGTTCACCTGAACATGGTCAAGAGACTTCCCGTCAGACAAGTCAGTTAAGCCTCGCTACTTCGTCCACATTGTGATGTTCTGGATTACTAAGCCATGCTGTATTTTAGGAGATTACTAACGTTTCGGAGAACCATAATGACTGTGTCTTCAGGGTGGAAGTCTTCATGTTGTGAATTTTTGTTATTACACTGTGTAGTATACTAGCATAATAGAACTACTTTCGGCCCTGAAGATGGAGGTAATATATTCCTCAGAAACATACATGAAGCCACAGGCAAGAAGATAGTATTTTTCAGAAATAATATTCACGATGAAGTAACTGAATATATATCCTTGGTCGGTTGTTTTTGTTCAGTTCAGGAGCTGCTGCTATGAGACAGAGCAATAAGCATGAAACAAGTTCAGGGAACCTGTTACTTGCTTCTTGCCCGTTGCTTGCACAGAAAATCCTTGGTCCTGGAAAGTTTAGAAGCACGTTCCTCGGAAACGTCGGTGAAATTTTACCACATCGCACAGCGTCACATCATCTAACATAGTACGTACTCTTTATGAAGATGACTCTCAGAAACCTCAAATCCCAGCATGCAATGTTGTTTTAAAAATATAGAGTTTCCGACAATGATAAATTCTAAGAGTTCCACTTTAGGGGATATGACACCGTCCAGTACAGTGAAAGTCACCAGACTACACGGCGTAACGTAGCCACCTATGTGAGAAACTCAGATCCCTGTAACAATAAATTTGTCTCATAACTCAGACACAAAGTTTCACGTCGCCATCTTGTCGCAAATCAACATCGCACTTCTGACACAATTGCCACGTGTATGAGTGACTATAGACGGGTTTTGGATTGCTGACTCAATTTATTGACCATTTTAACACACGACTAATGACTACACTTTACAGATCACTGATACACACACATTAACGTTCTTAGTCTGTTAGAGCCTCCACTAGTCGTTGCCTGGTAACGGCTTTCAACGGCGAACGTTCCCCTTACTCTGTGTTCCCAAACTATCCCCGTGACCCAGCTACAACCTTCTAACAGCAACAGCTCACAAGGACTGGACCGCAGCAGTCCTCAAACTAACTCACTCACTAACTAGCTCTTCCTTTTTGCACTGCACTGCACTGCACTGCACTAGCTCTCGTTAATTGTCCTGCTTATAACAGCCCGGCACAGAGAACACCGTTCCTCTGTTGCTGTTAAATCGTTGCTTGTTATGAATTCGTTGTCTAGCAGCGGGCGTTTATTTACAGAGTCATTACCTAGCAACGTGTCTACATGATACAGTATGTAAATTAGAAATAGTAGTAGTAGTAGTAGTAGTAGTAGTAGTAGTAGTAGCCGCAGCGGCGGTGATATGAGATTTCAATTGATGCTCACATCCTACAATGGCTTTGGATTCTACACAATTCACTCTATTACCAATTTGTGGACGACCTGGATTTATCTCCGAGACTAAAGCGTGTGGTTAAGCAGTGAAGTGGTTCAGGGTTATCGTAAGAGCTGCTTAAGAACTTGTGGATTTCCTTTTCTCAAAATGCAAACTAGAAGTTTAAGAATCTGAAAGTTACATTTATTATTGGAAACAAACACTTGGAGTCAAATATGCAAAGACAGGAATACCGAAGACTTGGGAAATTTAATTGTGAAAATACGTTACGTAAAAGAAAGACGTACAGGCAAAAGCAATTATAAAATACTTTTAAAACAAAATAACAAAGTACATACGTTGATTCAAAGGTTCGTGTGAACATGTGATGAAATTTTAGATTTAGAAAGTTGTAAAAATAGACCTCTAGGATTTGAGGTTATCACACCGGTGATTACGAAGAATTTTATCTTCTTGGTTACAACGCCGTGAAGTATGTTGAAAGTCAACAGAATTTACGGAGGAACATGTCGACTTTCCATCTTCAGAATCGGGCAGTAAGCCAAGAAACATGCTAACAAGAAACAGGCAGCAATCAGAACTTTGCGTTTAACTTCTTGCTGGGCTTCCCACTCGTCCCTGAACATGGAGGCGATTGTTCCACCGAAATGTGGGTTGACTTTTATCGGACTACTTGTTATATCCAAGAATACAGAACTCTTCGTCAAAATAAATCAGTTAGGGCTTCCCCACAAATTGTACCGTGTAGAGGTACCACTCAGTGTGTATCTCCTTTGAAGTTACTTTGACAAATGATGTTTCAAAACGACTGGATACAAGATAAATAATTATCACAAACATGTCCGACTACGGTCTATGCATTATACAGTTATTACGAACCCTCTCCGGAGTCCTAGCTACATTTAAAAATACAAAAGGCTTCAGAAGCTTGAACCGCAGATGTGAGCGGGGGGAATCGTTCTACTCAGTTGCTCCCTTCAGGTGAAGCTAGTAACCGCGTGTTCGAGATTATCTCGGGATAATTGACCCAACTGAATGAGTTTCTTCTCCTCATTTTACACCTGCTCATGGAAACAGCCCGAATTTCCGAATGTGTACTTTAAATATACATACGGTGTCCAGTATTCAACAAAATGTCACGATTTAGAGGTGTGTGACTATAGACGGGGTATGGATTGGATATTGGATTTATTAATACTGTGACGTGTTGCGCAATGGAGGACAACCCCTCACCCCGCCAGCGGTGACGTAACACTTTCGGAGCGTTGCCGTTGCTACGGTAATAAGCCAGTCAACACCCTGCCTCTCCCCGCGGTAACGTAACACGGGATGCCGCCGTTGCTACACAGCAGGAAACAACTCCCGACAGTGTTGTTAGCAACACGGCGCCAGACAACAGTGGTGCCTATTACGTGGCTGTTTTCTGTGTTGTACGGAATGAGGCTAAATAAGGAGCAGAGAATACAATTCACAGCAGTTCTCAAGTTCTCGGGTTACGAGTTCACGAGTTAGTTCTCAATGCAGCAGTTCTCAAGTTACGAGTTAGCCAGGCAGTCAACCTTTCAGTTGTAGTCTAGCCTTCGCAGGCCAAGTAATTGTAATACTGAAGATAGCAGTAGCTGTGGGATTGTAAACTGTGTGATTGTATGAGCGAGTGTGCAATAAAATTCGCTATATCCAATACGGCGTGAAGTTATTTGTCGCGTTATACACCCAACACGTGACAATTTTCTTCCTGGAGATTTCGTTTGTCGTGTTCAACGATCGCCAAAATGTTTTCAACTCTATGTTAGATTTTATCATCCAACTCTGACCGCATAGATCGCATTTCGGCCTTCATTTCTTCCTTGTCGGTTTCGATTTTCTCTCGCAGTTTTTCTTGGCCGACTCTCCTCTCCTCTCGGTCGGCCTCCAATATGGCCATCAACTCTTTATGGCCGGTTTTCCTATTTGCCTCCGTCTTTTCTTGGTAGGATTTCATGTTGGCGTCCATTCTTGCCAGCGTTTCCTCTTTGTCATTTTTGATTGACCTCCATTTCGTCCTTCTCGGCTTTCTATCGGCCTTCATTTCTTTCAGCATTTGTACTCGGTCGGTATCTGCTTTTACTTGGTTGGTTCTAATTTCTTCTTGCATGGACTTCAAGAGCTCTAACACGTGTTCCATTTTTCCGTTTGTAGGGTAGCAGTGGGAGCACAATAAGTCGTGATTACTCGTCGCGTGTTTAAGTTCGTAAAGCACTTCTGACAGTCACGTGTGTAAGTTCGTAACCACTTCTGACACCAAATGTAACGTGTTTCGTTACTATACTATATATATATATTGTGACATGTTGAGCTATGGATGACGCCCCTCACCCCCGCCAGCCGTGATGCGCCGAGCGAAGCCGAAGTGAGCCGAAGTTAGCCGAGTCCTAGCATCCTGGTCGCTATGCAACGCGAGTCAACAGCGATGACGTCACCAAGGGTACCGCGGGTTGCTAGGCAGCGCGGGTAAACAGGATTGCGAGAGACGATGGTAGTAACAGCGGTTGCTACCGCTAGCGTTGCTAGCAACACAGCACCAGGCAACAAGGGTGCTTATTACGTGGCCGTTTTCTGTATTGTCCGATCGAGGCTACATGAGGAGCAGCGAAGGCTATTCACAGAGTCCTCGAGCTACCTCCGAGAGAGTTCCGAGTTAGCCAGTAACCAATAGGTTGCATTTGTGATACTGCAGATAGCAGTAATTGTAAATCTGTAATTTGGGTGATTGTAAGTGCGAATGTGAAATAAAATTCGCTATATCAAATACGGCGTGAAGTTATTTGTCTCGTTATACGCTCAACACGCGACAATATATATACTACTATACTTATAATACTATAATATGAACTCCGTGGCCTGAAGTCCGCAAGCGAACTATACCGACCGAGTGACCGCAGCTTGTAGGCGAAGTTAGTGGCAACTTTAGCGGATAGAGAGTGTGGCGTGGTCAGTGCAACGGCCGTTAATTTCGGTTTCCTAGACAGGAGCCGCTATGTCCTTGAATCGCTCCTCAATTATCATCACGAGGCTGAGTGGACCCCGTTGCAGACCCACTACTCAGAAAATATGTTAGCGCCGGGAATCGAAACCCGGACCTCTGGATCTGTAGCCAGGAATTCTGACCACTAGACCACAGGCGACGTCACCATAAAATGAACATTAAGTTAAAAGCTAAACACCAGATACGCAAATTACTGACATCAGAGCTTTTGTGTATATTCGCGAAATAGCGTTTACGAAATGTAGGCCACTTTGCCCTTTCACATATCTGTATACTATTCAGTTCAGATTATGCCTGGTGGGAACAGGGGCATATCTCCCTCTGTGCTATTAAATCGAATTTAAATCAAACTACATTTATGTCAACCAGGGAAAGATATTCTGCAGTTCTCTACAAGTATTTAGAATAATGATTTAAATAACTCCACGGAGTATAGTCCTCTTTCAGAAATGTCGCTCAGCTAGTCAAGAAACTTTCAAAATTTAATGGAGCCACGAGGCTGGTTAGCATATTCACAAGAACCCACAATTGGCACCCAT